GAAATAAAATTTGAGCTCACAATTGTGTTACAAATACCTTGAACTGGACCTTGTAATGTCCAACCAAACTTTGTTGGTATTGCTACCAAATTTGCATCTAAACGGAAATAGTTTTCCTTAACAATTGAACCCAACTGATCCGCACCAATTAATATACTAATCTGACTGATATCCTCTTCCACATCTGTTAACTTGATTTGATACTTCTTCAACCTATTTATTAGATATGGATCTTGTACTCTGGGTAAGTTTCCGCAAAGCACCTCTTGTTCTAAAGCAGTCATAGTAGTACAATACTTCTCATCTAAACTACTTACCTTGAACTTGAATACTCTATGTATTTGTGCCGGTTTCTTTACACCGCTGAATAGTGAATGTCGAAGGTTTTCGCTACCTGTCACCTGTAGGCCAAGGTCTTCTGCCAACTCCCTTTTTATGTACGTTCTCTGCGAACCACAATCTAGAAGTACTCTTACTTTCTTCTCTTGTCCACCAGTTGAAATTTTAACCACTAATGTCTGTAACAAGGTTGTTGTGTTATTGCTTGTAAAGTTATTGTTAACTTCATCGTCGTTCACGCAACGTTTTTGTTCTTCTTGTTGTTCACCGGTCTTCGGCTGTGTGTGGAGCCTTGGACACAAGATAACTACATGCCTCTTACTACAACACATACATCTTATAAACGTTTTACAATATTTGGCGAGATGTCCTTTCTTTAAACATATGTAACACCCACCTTTTTTCTTGATTGCCTCTTTCTTCTCATCGAGCGACAATCTGTCAGCCTTACTGCACTCAAGTGTGTTATGACCTTTATCACAGAAAAAACAAATGATCACCTTACCTTCTTTTTCCTTGTTAGATCTGTCGTCTTGCTTTGTCGCAAAACACGACGTTGTTGGTATGTCATCTTTTGAAGTGTTGTATGTAAACAAAGACTTAGCAAGATTACATCTGGAATATGCCTCTACTTGGTTTTCTAAGAACAAAATTAATTGATGAAGTTTTGACTCTTTTTTCGTTGGTATTTTTGCCCATTCTACTAAAATAGCATCTGGCAATGCTGACTCAATCAAGGGCAGCAGAATGCATTCGTATCGATCTCTACCAATGCCTAATGACTCTAAAATTTGTAAGTTAACAGAAACTTTATCAAAAATATCTGTAATTTCTAAATTATTTCTTGACAAAATTATCCCCAAAATCTCGCGTACATATATTTCGATCAAAACTTCGTCTTTGGCAAAACGCCTTTTTAACATATCTATGATTTTTTCGTAATTATCCTTTGTTGGTGGATAGCTCTCTACTAAAGTTCTTGCTTTAGAATTATCCGCCATACAACTAAGTAGATATGAAAATTTATCTTCATCCCGTAGTCTTGCGTCCGTATGAATTTTTTCGTATTGCGTCCAAAACGGAATCCAAGACTTTGGATTGTCGTCAAATTTTCTTACATCCATCTTCGGTAGGTGCAATGGTAATTGTACGCATTCTTGTTTAATGGTGCCTGGTCTATTTCTAACTTTGATTTCCAGCCATTTTTTCTCAACTTCTTGACATTCGTCGAATTCTTTTGTTAGTTGCTCTTCGTCATAGTTGACGTCATGCAATAATATTTCTTGAATTTTTTTGTCTAAAATTATTATTGCATTTATTTTTGCTTCTAAAAACGTTATATCGACTTCTGTAAGCTTGTATTCTGTCTCTGCGTGTCTATTAAAAATACGACGTAATTGTCCCCTCTCTCGTATAAATTTTTGAAGGTCCATTTTATTTCTTTATCGTATTTCTTCTATTAATCACGGTCGCCACTTATGTTATAAACATTAAAAGACTTTATTTTATATTCTTTCGGTTCTTGTTAGACACGCACATTTTTTCTAAATTGACATTTTTGACATACTTATATATCACACTTACATATTACAGCCAGTATATCTTAATTGGAGATTCAACCTTCTTATCAATCCACAACAATTTGTATTACCGACAAAATTTGTATGAGATTTGTCAGTACATTTTACACCCGATACTAACACTAATCTAATACAAATTTAGTCTATATAAATACTGTGTCACTAATTTTCGTGCTAGAGCCCCAATTATAATTATAAGGACAAACATACATATTTGCAAAAAACTTAACACTGTCGGTCAAATATAAAATAGTGTATGATCTAAGTTAGATCGGGCTACAACAATTTTTATGTGACAAATAACTTAGAATAGCTTATCTTTATGACATCCTGCGGACGTCGTAACTGTCAAGTAGATAGCCCAAGTCTAGTGCACTTACAGAATGTACTCAATAACTATTCTATTAAAACAACTATATCTAGATATCTAGTATCGATATAAATAAAATAATTTGTTGAAAGTATTTAAATATTTATCTTAAGCGGATGTACTTATTTCGTTATTTCATTATTATCGTATTTGCAATTTTTTACTACATGATACTGGGAATTTATTATGGGAATAATTGACTTGGTCCGGGAGAAATCTAAAATCGAATTTAATATGATCTTCCAGACTATGTTCTTCATCTATGTCAATTTTTTTACAGATCAGTTAAACTGTTCTGGAGATTCCATTCGCATTTATAATTTTATGGTAAGTATTGTATGAACTATGATTGCGATAGTATTTTAACTTTTCCTGTTCATCTTTTATTTAAGAAAATATGTCTAATTTTAATACAAATAGCTGTTGCTCGCGACTTCGTCCACGTGAAATTAAAAAATAATAAAAAAAAACATAGCCTATGTTATTTACAGATAAAGAACCTTTCTAACGGAGAAAAAATTTATGAAATTGGCCTAGTATTTTGAGTTATTTCAATACATAAAAAATTACAAATCTTACCATCACATCACACAAAATCACATCACATCACGTCGGGGTCACCACTAAAGACTCGTATGGTAATAATCCTTTATTTACATATATTCGTCCTCGATCTAGTCTACTATCATAATGACATTTACTTTTTCCTCCGCACTGACATGCGCCGTCGAGGTTTCTGCATGCCAGATACATCGCCACAACCTCTTTATAATATTAGGCTACGACTAACCGTAGCTAACTTAGGGTGAGTTGCATCGAATCGCCGGTTATCGTAAAAGTTATAGTTA